ACTTGTGCAAAAAAATCTCATTTGGGGGATCTTTAATTTTTCAGATGATTAGGAGAAGAGGAAGAATTTTTTTTGTTTTGTTTTACTGACAAAAGTCATATTTAATCTACTGTAGTCATGGACGGGAGAAGGGCAGGAAAGGAATAGAATAAGAGCTGTCAGATCCTCTTTGGAATGAGGCTGGGTGCCAGGAAATATACACAGACGTAATTTTTAAAATAAATAAGGGAAAAACAAAACAAAACAGAAGAGAGAGTTTTCGGAATTAAGGACAAGAGAACTGGGAGGGACCTGCATTTACTTCTTGATTCCTTCCAATAAGACGTAGTTTATCTGGATTTGTTCTTTCTCATAGCCCTCGTTCACAGCTCAAAGCTGTGAATTAAATGATAGATTCTCCTCTAGAAACAGAACAAAAGAAAGCTCTATATTGAAGTCCAGATAGCAGTGAAATCATTACCCTCCAAACTCTTCTGACGCTGCTTCTAGTGAGCCTACAAGAGAGTTCCAGACTTCAGCAGTCCTGGAAGTATAGATGTGCCACTCGTGTGGTTCTTGCCCTTCTTGCTTTTCTATACAGACAAAAAAAAATTACATGTATTGGGCTGTATTACTTAATAAATTTTATATGAAATATTTACACTGTCTTTCTAAAGATATAAATTATTCATATCTCCCAAAACATTCTTGGGGAAAACATTAGAAGCTATCTGAAAGAGGAAATTTCTATAATGAGAATGGAGATAAACTCCCATTTAAAAGTACACATAGAAGTGAATCAGACACTCATAAGTATCTTTGACAATATTTATAGTAGGCTATAGCAATGAATCTACATTACTTTTACTAGACTAAAACTGCCAGATAGTACGTTATCAGAGACTTTAGAGACAAGAAACACTTCTATGTAAGTTTTACAATGTGCTATTCCTATTCAGCTGTAGAAAGTGAACTGCATTAAGATCTTAACCAGTGCATTCTTTAATGCATTTGTCAGGTGATTCTTTATTCTGAGTGCTTGTAACTAGCCATTTTTATGCAGAGCTGAATGTGTTTTATGAGACCTGCTTTTGATTCAGTATTAGAGGGATTTCCAAGGTCTTTGAACCAAGATTATTAATTTATAATGGTTTGTCTTCGGTTGACGACATTAACCGTATGTGTTGTTTTAGGTAGAGGGTGCATCTATGAAAACATTGTACTCTAAAACCTTACATTATTGTTTTTGAAAAATAATCATGGTAAAGCTGCAGTTAGCTCAAAAATAATTCACTTTGTTCATATCTTAGAGACCATGATAAAAGGGGAAACAAAATTGCTCTTCTTACAGAACAGGCTACAGAGAAAGTCCAGGAGAGAGTATCCTTGAACGCTCTCCAAAAAAGGTTACTAATGTTCATGTTGCTTTTCAAATATGGACCATTGAAAAGTGAGAGTTGCTGAATGATATTGACCATTTCCTTATCATTATGAAGAAGCTCTTCCTTTGCTTGCACATACCTCAGCACACTGTCACACGTTGGAGTGTCTGCCCTCAGCCCCCTTGGAATGCTCCATTCCTCACTCTCATAAACTCCAAAGGAAGGTAGATGTTAAAGGCATAGTCTCTGTGGTCTCCCTATGTCCTTGCTGAACTACAGAGAGAGAAACTATTTCTACAATTACAAAAACACACCTCACAACATGAAACAAGATCATGGGAATGTGATTGTCACTTTAATCCAACCACCGCCAGGTCTCCTCAGTGAAAAACAAAAGGTTGATCGTACATCATTTAGAATGCAAAGTGAGAGTTGTTTGGAATCTAATCTGTTAGACAAGAAGATCTAGACCACCTTTCTAGGATTGCCTGTGGGATGAGGGCCTCGCTGCAAGTGCCCAACTTAAACTGCAAGGTGCGAAATCAAGAGCTCAGATACACACACACAGGGCACTTTTCCAAGAAGGTGGAGACGACCGAAAATAAACTGTACGAGGCAGTGTTATACAAAGAACAGTGGCTCTGTGCAGTTAGCATACCATGGCTGTGAGTTAGCAGCTAGACGTCTTTCCCAGCTTTATTGTCTTTGTCTGCATTAAGAAATAGATGAGACTGATGTGGTGCTTTGGAAAAAGAAATTGGTGTTTCACCGGGCCCTAGTCCTGAAGTCGGAGTCGAGGTCAGGGTGACCCTCCCCTTCCCACCTTTCCGGCTACCTTTTCCCTCCCTCCTCTGGCAGAATGAGGTGTGCAGGCCCGGTGAAGGAGTGAGTACCTCCTGGCAACCACGGCAACCATGGCTGTGCTAACGGTGCATATAAGTGCCTGCGAAGAAGAAAACAAGAGACTGACTCACTGAGAGTCTGAGAAACAAAGAAACTATAAAATGTCCTTCCACTGAAATAAGCCATGAAGTAAAAAGTCAGAATAAATTATTAGCGGAAATGGAGTCACAGTTCGATTCTACAACTGGGTTTCTAGGTAAAACTATGGAAAAACTGAGGATTTTATTCAGAGGGAGCCAAACAAAGCTGTTGTGCTCTATGATACTGTTTTCATTGTTTGTCTTTTTTGTCATTTATTGGATTATTAAACTGAGGTGATACAAGTAAAAAAAAAGAAAAAGAAAGAAATAGATGAGACAATCTGTTTATTTTATAGCCTAAGAAGAGAAAATGTATCAAAAATGGTAAGATAGGATCAACTACAATTCCATTAAAGTCATCAAGAATAATCATATCTCATTCTTTATGGTTCTAAGAGATCTATTTTTTCTTAAAGTTGTTTTTAAAATGTTTAGAAACCCCTGATTGACTTTTGTTTTTAGTCTTTTCAGAAGTAAATTTCTTCGAACACTTTTTTCCTCATTTCTGGATTTTATACTTTAGAATAGAGTCGTGGAACAGATCTAGGATATATGCTAAGATGCGTTGACGTAAGAGCATTCAAACCTACAGAGAATCTTTCTAAAAATTTTTTGAGCCAAACAGAGGATATGCCTGGAAGCAAGATCTCAACAGACTAAGAAAAACCCTTAGGAGAATTTGGAGAATGTTAGTTTGCAGCTTCCTTAATGCGTTTTGAATTACAGAGGGAACGTAACGAAGATCACAGAATAGTTAAGATTATTCATTCTCATTTCAAACAATAATAAACTCACTATCATTGTTTGCCGCCGCTGCTACCATTATTATCTGCTTCGTATATTAGAGTTCTGCATATGATTTCATTTGGAAAAAAAGTTTGCTATCAAAAAGTTAGTATGCAATTAGTATACTACAGTATGCAGACATCAAAACATCAAGTTGTACACCTTCAATATGTATGGTTACACTTATTTTAAAGGTGTGTTAACCTAGATGCACAGAACAGTGGACAGAGCTTGCCTAAGGCAAAGATAAACCTTTGCCAACTAAAGAAGTTATATGCCTGGGGCAGGACTACCACCAGGACCTGCACAGTTAGGAATCCATGATCAGATCGCCCTGTGAGGTTCCTTCCATAGAACTCCTTTTTCATCCACAGATGTATATGATGTCTCATTTGCCAAAATACAAAAAAAGGACAGACCTAGAAAACTTATGGAGGCTTGTGGGGGAGTGAAGAAAGTCTGGGATCAGAAGTAGAAATAACAGAAGAATAAAGAAATAGCAACAAGCAAAGCCCAAAAGTGCTCCAGAAGGAGGC